CTACAATTTTCAATACTCAATTCAATCATCATGTGTCAAAATGTCTATCTGAGGTATAATATCAACTTTATTAGTATTTTATAATTTTATATATATATATATATATATATATATATAAAATATATAAATATTGTAATATATGATGTAATATACGGTTTTGTAGTATTTTTTATTTTTTAGGTAAAACGATTGTATTTTTGTATCGTTATAATTTTATGAAACGCGCGCGCAACGTACACCTTTTGATCTGTAATATTTTTCTATCCTTTATACATATATTATCTTATAATAACAACATAAAAATATAAACATTACATTTTACCTAAGGCCGATTGACATTATGCGAGGTCATTCGCAGGAAACAACATATCAATATTATTAATTCTATCAGTTATATAAATTAATTCGAAAGAGAAATCCGAAAGGACTTTATTATAGAATCCGATATAATAGTAACTTTATTGTGTGACTTGAATGTAATACAGTTAAAATAAGCAAAGGGCGAGACGAAAGCATACGCTTCTACGAGGCCTAAACACACGTATTACAATCAGAGTCCTTGCAGATTTAACGAAAGTTAGGCAAGACGGCCGCTAACGTTAAAGGAAGACGTTTATTTATGTCGTACTTACTCGAGAACCAACATTTAATTATGCCAAACCCCGGTTTGATTAAAGTTTCCGGTATATCGGGGACGAAATCCATGATGAGACAGAGGATAGTAAGGCAGGAGGGGCAACTCCACGCGTAAATCGAATACATGATGAATCTATTTCTCTCTCGTAGCTTCACATTTCCTAGTGACGAGCGGAATCCGCTGCAAAATTATTTAAAGCTTATTAGCATAATAATGAGAAAAACAGGCGTATGCATTACAAGCACACGTTAAAACAGTTATTATTTTTGGTCAAGTTTGCCGAAAAGCCGACCTCTTTAAATGCTTAATTTTTTTCTTGATTCGTAATAATTTAAAGACGATAAGTGATATGACGATAAGTCATATGTGATATAGATAATTAATTAGTAAATGAGCATGTAAGCTAAAATACATAATTATTGACATTAGTCACTTTAACATTTAGACACTCTTATTCACTTTAACACTTCAGAAAAAACCTGTTTTTTATGATCAGCATTTAAACTTCTTGTCTGCACTTTATGATTCCAAAGGAGAATTTCATAATAACATTGATAAAAAACCACCGCTGACCGCAAGAAAAATTTAATTATTCCAGATTCACACAGAGAAAAAATTTTCCAAATTTCATAAAACGTTTA